GAAACAATTTGGAATCATGCAAATGAAGTAAATTAAATGTCCATGCCCTTTGACCCAAAGATTCTACTACTTTTGGACTTATACCCCAAGAAGGTCACTGATAAGAAGAAAGTCCCCATGAACACCAAAATATTTATAGCCGCAATTTTGTGATGGCAAAGCATCAGAAACAAAGCAGATGTCCATGGACTGGGGAATGTTTAGATAAATTGTGGTACATGAATGTAGTGAAGTATTACTGTTCCATAAGAAATGATGACTGTGATGAATACAGAAAAGCATGGAAAGATCTGTATGAACTGATACAAAATGAAGTAAGCAGAGCCAAGAAACCAGGATACACAATGACTACAACAATGTGAATGGGAAGGATAACCCTCCAAAAAAGCAAAAGTGAATGTTGCAAAAATCACAAAGAAGCATGGTTCCAAAGAAGAGACACAAGAAGACCCCCACCACCACACCCCTTTGCAGAGGTGGGAGGGCCACAACTATAGTGCATTATATACATTTTCAGAATTTTCAGTGTATTCATCAGTTTTGTTGATTTTTCTTTTCTTTTTTATTTAAAAATATTTGTCATATGGAGTGGTTCTCTTGGAGGGGAAGGGGAAATTTTAGTGATGTAAAAAAGATTAATCAATTAAATGTATTATTTTTTTAATGAGAAAAGGATAGGACAAGGAATGCTCTCTGAGGAGGAGAAGGGAGAGGGATATATTTGGAAACAAATGTGATATGAAAACCAAAGATATCAAAAAGAAAATAAAGTCCAAAAAACTGCTAAATACTGCATTTTTAGAAACTGGTGCTATAAATAACTTAGTATCATTAAAAATTAAAAGAAGAAACAACAATATGAAAGGATACTTATTATATTATATATATAATATATATTATATTATATGTAATATATATTATATTATATATATTACATTATATATATATATCTTATAATTACAGCAGCTTGAACCCAACCCATTTAAACAACCAGTTGACTACAAAACATGAGAATTGAACAAAACTCATAGCACCCCAAAGTGTTCATCATTGTCACTGAGGCTACCATGTATATAATTAAAGTATAAACCCAAAAGATTCCACAGAAACAGACAGACAGTGGGAGGAAAGGCTCCAGCACATCAAGGGGTCTTCTGTGGTGGATTTATGAAAAGACATGGACAAAGATTAGAGAGACTGAGAAGGAATGGATGAATGGCCATGCAGGCTAGCAGGGATCACTCTCCACTCTCCTTGTGAGATCATGATTCCAATGAAGCATTGAAGTATCGTGGCTGACAAAGAAAAACTTGTTCTCTGTTTCCCTTTAGCTTATCCCATTAACATCCTGAACAGATCTCAGTTCTCAAGAATTTCCTCTGAATCCTAGAAATCCTTTCCCTGTGCACACTCCTTCCAGAAAAAGAAGTCCTCCTCCTGTACACCTTGACGTTGGAGTTTGTAGTTTAAGAAGCGCTAAATGGGTCGCGAGTGGAAAAAGTTTAAGAAGCCCCGGTCAAGAGTACCCTGCTGGGGGGCGGAGCCAAGATGGTGGAGTGAAAACAGTGACTTGCTTGAGCTCTCCCCCAAACCCCTCCAAATACCTATAAAAAAAATGGCTCTAAACAAATTCTAAAGCAGCAGAACCCACAAAAAGATGATGAAACAAATTTCCAGCCCAAGACAACCTGGATGGTTGATCTGAAAGGTATATCGCTCCTGGGGAAGAGAGGGGCGCAATGTGGCGTGGGCGCACAGGCCACAGCGACCCTGGAGCAGGCCTCAGAGGATTGAATCACAGGCAGCTGTGGCGGTTTCCAGACTTCTCAACCCACAAAAGCCAAAGACAACTTAGAAGGTCAGTGGGAAAAGTCTGTGATGGCAGTGAGAGGTAGAAGCTAGATCTCAGTCGCCCCTCCCCGGGGCAGTGGCTGCCTCCTGAGCTTCCGGCCCACAGACTGAGGGGGAATCAAATGGCTGATCAGAGGGAGATTGCAGTGATCTCTTTGCCAGTGCTGAGGCAGGAATCTCTTGCTTTGCCCGTGCTTGGATCCGGGTCACAGTTCTGAGGGGTGGTCCTGGGGCGAGGAGGAACACTGGTGGGGTGGAGCTTGTTGTGGTGGTAGAGAAAAAACACCTCGTCCCTTATCATACCACCTTGGAAGAACTGAAAATTTACAGGTCCCCCGAAGTATCTCTGAAAACAGCTGTATAAACTCCAGAAGCGTGGGACAGTACATTCTCCACACTGGAAGCAGACTCTTACCTTAACAAAGAGTTAAAAACTCAAGTAATTGGCCGGGATCATGAGTAAGCAGCGCAAAAAGAGTCAGACAATGTTATCTTACTTTGGTGACAAAGAATATCAAAACATACAACCAGAAGAAGATAACAAAGTCAAAACTCCTACATCCAAAGCCTCCAAGAAAAATATGTGAATCAATCCCAGGCCTTGGAAGAGCTCAAAAGGGATTTTGAGAAGCAAGTAAGAGAAGTAGAGGAAAAACTGAGAGTGATACAAGAAAATCATGAAAAACAAGTCAATAGCTTGCTAAAGGAGACTCAAAAAAATACTGAAGAAAATAACACCTTAAAAAATAGCCTAACCCAAACGGCAAAAGAGGTCCAAAAAGCCAATGAGGAGAAGAATGCCCTAAAAAGCAAAATTGGCCAAATGGAAAAGGAAGTCCAAAAGATTACTGAAGAAAATACTTCCTTAAAAATTAGAATAGAGCAATTGGAAGCTAGTGACTTTATGAGAAATCAAGACACTGTAAAAACAAATCAAAAAGAATGAAAAATTAGAAAACAATGTGAAATATCTCATTGGAAAAATAACTGACCTGGAAAATCGATCCAGGAGAGAGAATTTAAAAATTATTGGACTATCTGAAAACCATGATCAAAAAAAGAGCCTAGACATCATCTTTCAAGAATTTTTCAAAGAAAACTGCCCTGATATTTTAGAACCAGAGGGCAAAATAGAAATTGAAATAATCCACCGATCTCCTGAAAGAGATCCCCAAAGGAAAACTCCTAGGAATATTGTAGCCAAATTCCAGAGTTCCCAGGTCAAGGAGAAAATATTATAAGCAGCCAGCAAGAAACAATTCAAGTATTGTGGAAACACAATCAGGATAACACAAGATTTGGCAGCTTCTGCATTAAGGGACCTGCAGGGCATGGAATATAATATTCTAGAGGGCAAAGGAAATAGGATCACAACCAAGAATCACCTACCCAGCAAAACTGAGTATAATTCTTCAGGGGGAAAAAATGGTCATTCAGTGAAATAGAGGACTTTCAAACATTCTTAATGAAAAGACCAGAGCTGAATAGAAAATTTGACTTTCAAATACAAGACTCAAGTGGAACATGAAAAGGTAAACAGGAAAGAGAAATCATAAGAGACTTATTAAGGTTGAACTGTTTACATTCCTGCATGGAAAGATGATATTTGTAACTCATGAGACCTTTGTCAGTATTAGGGTAGTTGGAGGGGAAAAAATTATATGTACATATATATAGATATAGATAGATAGATATAGATATATAGATAGATGGATAGATAAATAGAGGGCACAGGGTGAGTTGATCTGGAGAATAAAATTAAGGGATGAAAGAGGATTATACTAGGAGAAGGAGAAAGGGAGAGGTAGAATGGGGTAAATTATCTTACAGAAAAAGAAAAGAAAAGGCTCTTACAGTAGAGGGGAAACAGGGGAAGGTGAGAGGGAATGAGTGAATCGTATTCTCATAGGATTTGACTTAAGGAGGGAGTAATATACACACTCAATTGTGTATGGAAATCTGTCTTACCCTACAGGAAAACAGGGGGGAAGGGGACAAGAGAGTAGAGGGATGATAGAGAGGAGGCCAGATTGGGAAAGGGGGTAATGAGAAACAAATACTTCTGAGGAGGGACAGGGTCAAAAGAAAGAATAGAATAAATGTGTGGGGGCAGGATAGAATTAAGGGGAATAGAGTTAGTTTTTCACAGCATGTCTACTATGGAAGTGTTCTGCATAACTGCACATATATAACCTATATTGAGTTACTTGCCTTTTCAATGAAGGTGGGTGGGGAGGGAGGAAGGGAGAAAATTTGGAACCCAAAGTTTTAAAAACACATGTTTAAAAAAAATGTTTTCACATGCAACTGGGAAATAAGAAATACAGGAAATGGGGTACAGAAATTTATCCTTCCCTACAGGAAAATTGAAGGGGAAGGGGATAAGAGAAGGGGGGGAGAGATAGAAGGGAAGGCAGACTAGGGGAAGGGGTATTCAGAATGCATGCCATCTTGGGGTGGGGGAGGGGCGAGAAGGGGTGAAAATTTGGAATTCAAAATCTTGTGGAAGTAAATGTTGAAAACTAAAAATAAATAAATTTATTAAAAAAAAAAAAGAGTACCTTGCTGAGGGGGCAGCTAAGTGGTGCAGTGATAGAGCTCCAGCCTTGGAGTCAGGAGGACCTGGCTTCAAATCCAGCCTCAGACACTTGACAGTAGCTGTTTGACCTTGGGCAAGTCACTTAACCCCAATTGCCTCACCAAAATGCAAAAAAAAAAAAAAAAAGAAAGAAAAAAAAGAGTACCCTGCTGATAATCTCTTGATGAGAATGCACACCCTGTGAGTGCAGGGACTGTGGGGTTTAGGGTTTGCATCTCTAGTGCCTGGCATCTGTGAGGTGTTTAAGTTGAATCTGTGTAAAGCAATCCTGCTTGACACCATAACTGTCCTGTCTATTTAGCCAGATACTGTCCATTAGCTAGATAATTGGTCCATTAGCCAGATAATGATGTGCAAGCTAGTTTGTACAAAGGAAGGACAATGCATTTGTAATTCAGCAAACAGCAAGACACCTTCTGTAAACAAATGTTTCAGCCATTAATCTTGGGGATGCTGGACTTTCTTGGGCAGATGACCTGTTTCTGAAGTTTGTGTCTCCATGTACGCTCAGCTGAAGCTTTACTTCAAAAACTTGCCTTGTTTATTTCAGGTGATGAAGTTTCAGTGCACTATGACCCCATGATTGCAAAACTTGTTGTCTGGGCTGCCGACCGCCAAGCAGCATTGAAGAAGCTTCAGTACAGCCTTCACCAGTACAATGTGAGTGATCAGGAAGCTCAATTTAACCAGCTCTGAGGTTTTTGTAGTGGCTTACAAGATAATGGCATGGGACTTTTCTCCCTGTTCACTTAGTTCATGGTCTAAGCTGTGCCCACAGCCTCGTATGTGTCATGAGTCATAGACAGGGTATTTCTGCACGGCAAAATGAAGTCTCAGAATTTCCAGATTTCAATTAGAAGAGAAAAGTTCTAGAAATAAGGATCTCACTTAGGGTAGGAATTGTATGCTGATTGCCTCATTTAATAAGATGCCTTATGAAATCCCAAGATATAGGTTTTCAAAGTTAAACTGGGAGGGGGAGGCATTTTTCCCCAGAAGAAAAAATAGTATGTCTTGGATAACAGTTGATGTTGTTGATTTTGGAAGGTTGTTTGCATTTCTCTAGTGTGTTACCTGACTGCATCCAAAGGAGTTGGCTTCCTGAAAGGGTTTCTTTTTAGACTGCTAACTGGAAAAACACCATATGACTGGTGTTGGTTTGATTTGCCCTGGCAATTAGAACTCTAGCCCGAATGTCCAGCCGCCACCTCCCCCCCCCTTGGGATCTGTGTCATGGTATCATGGATCTGTTGCTGGAAAGGGCCTCCAAGGCCATCTGTCACTGACATATTGGGGTGACATTATGGGCGAGTCACTGAGCTTGGGATAAAACCATGCTTCAAGAAGCAAAGCAAAAAACTCATGAACTCAGATTTTAAAAAATGTTGTAACATAGACATTAGAAGCAAGAGCAGGTAATGAAGACAAGAGCAGTACAATCTGCTCATGCCCAGAATTAGGAAAAACTGATTTTGAACCCTAGAGATAAAAGAAATGGCATTTCAAAAATCTATGTTGGGGAGAAGAAGATTGAACAAAGAGATGGAAGCACTGTCGACTACCTTGCCCTAATGGGCGCCTAGGCCTGAGAGCCCCAAGTGTGGCAGCTCTGCCCCAAAGCCACCTGTCCTGCAGCCACAGCTGCCAAGGACCCAGAAGAGGACGACCATCCCACCAAAGTCGTTGGCATTGTCCAAGGGCTCACCATCAGGGATGGATATGGGTTTTATCAGTAGAAATAACATGAAAGAAGATGGATTACCTTCACCAAAGGACCCCAGGTCCTTTCCATCTGGCCGGCCACTGGCATCTCTATGGATTGTTTCCCCCATTTCCATGTGAGCTCCCTGACAGTGGGGACTGTCTTTTCCATTTGTTTCTCCAGCATTTAGCACAGTGCTGTGCACATAGCAGATGCATTTTTTTAAAATGCTTTCTCGATCCTTTATTCATTTCTATCTCATAGACTCCATCATTTCCTTCAGGACATGCTCAAGCCCCACCTTCTACCCCAAGGGTTTCCTGCTGCCACTTACTAGTAACCTCCTTCCCTCTCTGCCAGCCACCTTGTACTTATCTACTTTGTGTTAGTCTGTGTATACTTGGGAACAGTTTAGTCATGGTTAGAGATCTGGCCGCAAAGCGAGAGAGATTCAGGTTCAAGGCTTCCTTCTGATCTGTGTGGGCTGTATGACCCTTGTGACCCAAGGGACCAAGATGTCCAGGACAGCTCTCTTCATTCACAGGGCAGGTGCCAACCTGCACTGGCAAAGGGAGTGTCCTCACGAGGAGTTCTGTAAACCAGTAATGTCACAGGTCCAGGAACACTTATATGGGTACCTGTTGTCTCCCTTGAGAGACTGTAAGCTCCTTGAGGGCAGGGACTGGTTGGTTTTTGTCTCTGTATCCCCAGTGCCTGGCACAGTGCCCGGCATGTGGTAGACGTTTGATAAATGCTGGTTGAACACATTGGTTGTGGCTAGTTTTCCACATCTGTGATTTTCCCAGGCACTGCTTTGTCCAGGCCCTTAAAAACATTTGGGCTTTGAACCTCATTGAAAGCTTGTGTGCTTTTCCCTAGATCACAGGATTGAACACCAACATCGACTTCTTACTGAGTCTTTCCAGACACCCCGAGTTCGAAGCTGGCAACGTGCATACAGACTTTATCCCACAACACTCCCATGACTTGCTCCCCCCTCCGAGTGCCACGGCCAAAGAGGTTTTATGTCAAGCCGCGCTGGGACTCCTCCTCCAGGAGAAAGTTATGACCAATGCTTTCAGACTTCAGACAGAGGGTAAGGACTACCTTTCTCTTTCCAGTTATCAAGTTTTTATGAAACTGAGTCTGGGGAAGCTTGCTTATTTCTTTTTTTTCCCATTCTCTATTATTATAGGTGTTTTTCAGAATTGTACAAGCCTTCCACACTTGATAGGTACCAACAGCACTCATTCATCAACTAGAATCATGAAATAATGGGATCACAGAGTCAGAAGAGATTTGAGAGGTTGTCTTGTCTGGCTCCCAGACTTGTAAATCCCTCTGCCTCTAACAATTGTCATGAGACAAGGGCCTTGAGGACTCTAAAGTGCCATCTGAGTACGAGCTATGGAGCAGCTGGGGGCACAATGGATAGAGCGCCGGGCCTGGAGTCAGGAAGACCTGAATTCAAATCTGGCTTTAGACACTTACTAGCTATATGACCCTGAGCAAGTCACTTAACCCTGTTTGCCTAATTTCCTCATCTGTAAATGAGCTGGAGAAGGAAATGGCAAACCGCTCCAGTGTCTTTGCCAAGAAAACCCCAAATGAGTGATGAAGGGTCAGACATGACTGAAACAACTGAACAACCAGAAATATCAGCTAAAATCCTTTCTGACAAATGGTCATTGAGCCTCTACTCCATCCCCTCCAGAAACAGCAAATTTCCTTGACTCATGGAGCAGCCAGCACCATACTGGGACAGCCCTCATTATTAGAAAGTTCTTTATGCCGATGTACAATCCACCTCCCCACAGTTTCCCTCTGCTGCACCTCGTTCTGTCCTCTAGGGCTAAGCTGCACAAGTAACCCCCCTTTCCCATGACCCCTTCCCAATATTTGGGGACAGCTTTCACGGCCTTCCGAGGCTTCTCTTTGCCAAGCTAAATAGCTCAAGGTCCTTCACGTTCCTGACAGTCACGTGACGCGGTTCGGTGTCCCCTCCCCATCTCGGCCGCTCCTCACTGGGCATGCTGCAGCTGGCGGCATCTTTTGTGAAACACGGAGCCCAAAACTGAATACGACCCTGCAGCTGCTCTCCAGCCAGCACCGTCCATGTCCCTTGTTCTGGACTCCGTCCTTTGCTGAGTGCAGCTTTGGAGGGCATCCATGTCACACTCTTAGCTCATATTGAGCTTTGCAGGCAACTAACTCTGACCCCTTAGTCATGAACATAATTGCATTAATATACATCTGAGCCACTCTCCAGTCAAGTCTGGACAGGTTCAGTTGATTTGTTCCTTGTCACATGGATGGATGAATGAATGAGTGAGTGAACATAATCTCCTCCAGCTCTGATATTTTAGGACTGTAACAGAACTCTCATGACATTGTCATTAGTGCCTTGCTGGCATTTAGATGGGCTGTTTTTGACAATTCTATTATCTCTTCAGACCATCACTTTGTCCCAAAGCACGCTGGCTGCTGGTGATCACTGCTTCCTTCTCTAGGTCCTCTCCTACCGTCCCTTCAGTCAATCCTTTTAGAGTTTTGCTGAGAAGAGACATTAAGTTTATTGTTACACAATCCACCTTCTTCCTCATTTTCAAAATTGGGCTGTTTATCCACTTCAGTCCTCTGGCACCTTTCCCAGTCTCCACAGCCAGCAGCATGTTCTTTAAGAACCCAGTTTGAGCAGCCAGATGGCCCCTTACTGACCTCACTTACCTTGGGCGTCAGTCCCTTAGCAAGAGGAGAATGTTGATTTTCCCTTTTTCATTGTGAAGTTCATTGACAGAGAAGATGGAAGCAAAGTTGAAGAGGCCCACTTTTCCTTTCCCAGCTATCATTTAACATTGCGCCATACCCTCAAATAGCCTGGGCACATAAGTAAAATGTCTGGGGGGAGGGACCTGCCCTTTTTTGTGCTTAACACTTTTTGTAAGCGTCAGCTCATTATGTACTTTCACCAAGAGTCACACTTGGAATCTGGACTCCCAGCTCTCCGCCTTCTGGCCGTAGGCTAAGTCACCTCAGCCTCTGTGTGCCTCACTTTCCTCATCTCAGAATGAGGGGGCCAGACTCGATGACCCTCAAAGTCCCTTTGGGCTCTAGGTTCTCCAGTCCCCATAGATCACGGGTTAAGGCAGGGATACTGGAGAAGGGGCCACTTGGCTCTCGCCTTTACTTCACAAGGGTCCTCAGCATCACGGCTTTCAGGACGTCGAATGTGCATTGTTGTCCTGGCCCTTCTTTCCTCTTGCCAGGTGGTGTCTTAACAAGACAAATCGTGTCTAGAACCTGTTTCTTGGCAGTCTTGTTTGTTTTCTGTACCTGTTTAAGGACTTTCTGCTCTTTAATTTGTGACTTTTTACAAACAATTTTCCAGATCAGTTCTCACCTTTTGCATCCAGTAGTGGAAGAAGATTAAATTTCTCTCACACCAGAAATGTGACTCTTCAGGATGGGAAAAACAGTAAGTACCAGGGGCAGGTGAAGCCTGAGTTTCTGTGACCTTCTGAACTAAGGAGAAAAGTCACCGTTGTCAGCGCCATTCCAAGCAAACACACTTCTAGGTCTTCATGACTAGGAATGCGGAAAAGCAGCTAAGCTACAGTCCAGGACGGTTAAATGCCTGCTCTGCCCCAGTAACAACAGACGGGCAGAGCTGTGCAAGGAAAAGAGGGATAGTTTGGGAATTGGAGGACCTGGGTTCGAGTCATGGCTCTGCTGCTCCGCTTGTCTGACCTTGGGCAGACACCTAACTTCCCTCACCTCGGCGTCATCTGTAAAACAACAGGGTTCACTCAGTGGTCTCCATGGTTCATTCCTGCTGTAAATCTTAGTCTTGTGATTCATTTTATGTAGTGCAAAAAAACTTTCCATACCACAGCCCTATGAGGTGGGTAGTGTAAGTATAATTATTCTACAGTTGGGGAAACTGAGGCACAGTAAGGTTAAGTAACGCGCCTGTGACTTCACAGCCAGTGGACGAGCCCTTCAGTCACATGCCCGGTTTCTGTGGGCCCATTGTTTTCAGTATGTGTCCCGAGGCTCAGCTCTGTGCATGCTGCAGTCTCTCTGGCACCATTTTGTACGCTTTTGTTCCTCATGCCCTCCTCTTGTGTTCCACCCCGGTTCCCTTCATTCCATGCTGGGTTTGTGTCTTTTAAAATCTCAGTGGATCAGAGCCCTCTCTCAGCTTCTTCAGGTTCTCAGAAGCTGCTGCTTTCTCTTCCTCATGGGGAACAGGTGCAGGGGCCGCTGAAAGGAAGGACGTGGGTAGTGATCAGCTGCAAATCCTGATTGATAGTGCCAGGACTCTAAGCCCAGGTGACTGGCAGAATAGTAGTTCTGTGGTCTGGCAGAGAACTCGGGGAGTTTGGTTTTAGACATGTGGAACTTGAGGCACCCGGCCATATCCAGGTGGCAACGTCCTGCCAATAATTGGAGAAATCAATTTGAGCGTCCCTTGCATATGGTTAATAGATTATCGTATCATAAATCTAAAGCTGGTTAGGCCCCCAGTAGCCATCTAATCCAACCACTTCATTTTACAGCTGAGGAAACTGAGGCCCTTACTGGGAAATGCCTCACCCTGGATCACCCAGGGAGTAACCTATCCCAAGTCCGGTGTTCTTTCCAGCTGTCATTCCTCAGGGAAAACATAGACCACCTTTACCTTCTCTGTAGCCTACAAAGTCCATGGTTATACTCTCTAGGGGCAGACTCATTGAAATACAGACTAGAAGGCACATTAAGGATCAACTCTCTTTGTTTTACACAGAGCCAACTGAGGCCTAGAGAGAGGTCCGAAAGTGCCCAGTGAGTTAGTGGCTGATGACAGTCCCTGGAATCAATACCTTAATCGATATGTTTTCCTTCATCAGAAGAAAAAAATTAGAAAAATTCCCCTGATCAAATCACCTTTTGAACAAAGAATGTCAAGAGACTTTTCACTGCCTAGCGAAGAGAGCACCGGACAAGGGGTCAGGGAGTCGGGATTGATAGCCCATTAATACCACTCCCTCAGCATCTGACTTTGGGCAAAGCCAGAGATGAATTCTCTGGGTCTCAGTTTCCTCATCTGTAACAACCTGAGGATGATTTCTAGGGTCCCTTCAAGCTCTGACACTCTGATTTTACCATGTCATTGTGCTTTGTTGCACATGTCTCAGTTTTTATTGACTTTATCCATCAGGAATAAGGAAGAGGTATCATGCCCTCATGAGAATTGCACTGTTTTTCAGCGGAGAGACTTTTGCTTCTTTGTCATTAAATTAATGAATTCCTTTTTGAAATGACTTTTCTCATGTTTTCTTCTTCCTAGAGGTGGCCGTAGCCGTAAAGTACAATCGGGACGGATCGTACAGCATGCAGGTATGGCCTCTAGTTTTGTTAAAAGGATCTCTGTCAGATTGAGCGTGTGTCTGACTAACCCTAGTCATTGTTTCCCTGAGCCATTACCCAGGCTCTCTTATTCCGGGCCAGCTTCTGGAAATTAGTTCTGTATCATTTGATTCTTTCTTTTGTGTGTCCAGCTTAGCTGTAACTCTTTCATAATGGAAATTGAGCAAAGCCGCTTGCTCAGATCTGAGATAATCTCCTAAGCCTGACACATAAAGGCAACTACCGTGCGTCTCTGAGGATGACGGGTGCACCATTGTTGGCATTTGGGGAGGAGCACGTCTTTTCCAGTTTTAAATAGGCAGCAGGAAAGGTATGCTCATCTCTGACCAAGATTGGTCAAGGCGAGAGGAAAATTTTAACAAAATACCCATAAATTCAAATTTAGGGAAAAGAATCAAATGAGAAGGCTCATTGGTTGATAAAGTAAGGGAATGTTCTTCTAGTGAGATCTGTCCCTCTATCACATGCTTAAGTGATGCCTGCCATCCTTCCAGATGCACAACTTGTCTAGGAACCTTGGTACAGATTGACTTTACTTCTCTAAGAATGAGAAATTAGGATAATGTATGCAGAGTGAATGTTAAAGCCACATGCTATCTCTGCTGGGTCTCCTCATAGTTCTTTCCATGATGTATTCAAGCAGGGAAATGGGGGGATCACAGACTTCCGCCTGTCTGCTTATAGAGATACTCTCATTGTTTGTCACATATATTGTCACTATGTATTTGTCGCTTATATCTCCACTTGTGAGCTTACACAGACTTCAGGAGATAGTGGAGGACAGAAGGGCCTGGCGTGTGTGATCCATGGGGTCACAAAGAGTCAGGCACGACTGAACATGAAGAGCAACAGCTTCTATCCACTCTCCAGTCGGGTGTCACCTACTATTACATAAATACTCATGTGGTTGGTTGATTGGGAGAAAGAGAAAAGTACACCCCGCCTGGCATTAGGTTTCATCAAGACAGTGTTGGGATGTCAGTAAAATAGGTCAGGGGTGAGCAGACCTCTCTTCACACGCCCTCCATTCAGCCAGGCTGGTCTGCACCCTGCTGCTCTTCCTCTCCAGCCTTAAAGGTGCACTTTTCTCACTGCCTTGTCCCAGAATCACTCGCTTCTTTCAAGGCTCAGGCCGGGTGCTGTCCTCTCCAGGAAGCCTCTCCTCCTCCACCCAGCTGTGTGTGTGCTGTCCATCGTGAGATCATACTATGTTTACTTCTCTGAGCCCACGGTCTCCCTCCAGTGGAATCCAAGCTCTCCAAGGAAAGGAACTTCCATTTTTGTCTTTGACCTTTAGCATAGGCACTTGAGAAATGTCTGCTAAATTGGGTTGAGTTGGATTGACAACATATGGCAGGCCTTTATTGCAAAACCGCTGGACAGCCCTGCCCTAAAATCATGCTACCATTCAACTGGAGGATCTAAACTCACCAGTGTTGGGTCATGATGCCCCCTGCCCTGGCAGACAAAACCTTCAGTCCTTGCGAGGGCACCTTGTTGTCAGGCTGGCTTCTTGTTCTAGAGACAATGATAGATGAAAGGGCAATCACTGCAGTCCTCGAAGGCATGGGAGATGGGAGAAGGCTGTGTCATCCACTTTAGGCGGTGATGAGCTCCATGGACAGTGATGCCTGTCATGCTGCCACTGCCCTGGAAGGCAGGGAATGTCTCGTTTCTCTCTTTCTGTACCCAGTGGCTAACACGTTACCGGGCACAACTGTTTATTGATGGATTGATTTGAGGGACAGGTCAGTATTCCACAGCAGACACCATCTTCATGCCACATAATGAAGTGAAAGCACATTGTTTGTGGAGCACAAATGAATGACTTGACTTGGGAGTGTTTGAGACTGTCCTCCAAGAAGGCGTCTCTTTGCTTGTTTACATTCAGACGAGATTCTTTGATCATTGCAACCACAGTGGTCGCCTTGTTTCATGATCCTCTGATTGCTACAGTCAAGGAAAGCAAAAAATGGGAAAATGTTGGCTTGCCAAAAAAGTTTGCCCCCAGCGTGGAGGAGGACCTGTGCAGAGTAAAAATGGTGACGTCCTCAAGATGCTCCCAGAGGCAGCAGTGGGTACAGCACCAGGCCTGGAGTCAGGAAGAACTTTGTTCAGACCCAGCCTCAGACATTTAACTAGCTGTGTGACCCTGGGCAAGTCACTTGACCTGTTTGCCTCAGTTTCCTCAGATGTAAAATGAGGTCATAATAGTATCTACTTCCCAGAGTTGTTTTGAGGATGAAATGAGATCATATTTGTAAAGTGCTCTGCAAACCTAAAAGCATTAAATACTGCTATTAGAATAAATATAATCATTATTATTACCACTAATGATTGTATTAAATATATTAATTATAATAGTATTTATATAATGCTTTTAGGTTTGCAAAGCACTTTACAAATATGATCTCATTTGATCATCAAATCATTATTATTATTACCACAGGACAGCTAGGTGGTTCAGTGGATAGAGCACCGGGCCAGGAGTCAGGAAATCTCATCTTCAGGAGTTCAAATCTGGCCTCAGACACTCCTATTCGTGTAACTCTAGGCATGTCACTTAACCTGTTTGCCTCAGTTTCCCCATCTATAGAATGAGCTGGAGAAGGAAATGACAAACCACTCCAGTATCTTTGCCAAAAAAATCCCACATGGCGTCCCGAAGAGTCAGACATAACTACAAAACGACTCAGCAAATTATTATCACACTTGTTTGCAGATGCTGTTTTACTGGTGGCATCTATCCTCAGAACATCACAGAATTTCCCACTGGAAAGATCTAAAGTCACTCAAAAGAATTCAGCCTAACTCTGCACACAAGGGAAAAACAAATGGAGAAGGAAGAACCAGATGTGGATTGCATTTGGGAGTCATATAGCAGTTTCACGAGCCTCCCCAAATCCCCTTAAAACAAAATCCCGTACTTCAAACACTGAGATTCTTAGGGTGACCTTGTATGGCTAGGACTTGTGGAAGACCCCAGTCTCCAAGGAACCCAAAGGGCAGTGGAGGAACTCATGGTAGGTATAAGAAGGTTACAACGTGTTTCTGATGATAAATTTATCCTAGAACATGGTTCTAAAGATAATATTAGAGAGCTGTCTGACCCAGGAAAAGATGAGCTGATCATGTGGTAGATGCACAGATTGTATGCTGCTGCAGTAATGCCTGTGTAATTTCAGGAGGTCCCGTGAAGACTCCGAGTGCCTTGGGGGAAGCCCTGGGGAGAGGTGGAATCATCAAAGAATAGGGACAAGAGCCCACAGGGTACGAGGCTGTGAGTGGGTAATCCACCCTACTGGAGGGCAGGCCCACATTGGTTATATTGTGGGTTGAAGTGAAGAATGGCCCAGGGACCTACCCCCTCCTTTAGGATTTACGGTGCTTCTATGTGAATAATTCTTTGATGGGCCTTATGGGGTGTGACCCAGTTGGTTGACACTTTCTGGATCAATAGTGAGTTTTTTCCATAAATGGAATACTTTATGAGCAGTTAGCTAGTTTTGGAGTCTTAGATTTCTGAGGCAATTTCACAGCAGCCCACCACCTGCACCCCTAGCTGCAGACCCGGGACATTGGGGGATCCTGCAATTAGATCAGCCTACAGAGGTGAGTGAAGGAAGTCACAGTCGGGGGGTGGGGAGCGAGCAAAGCATGGTCCAGGATCCAGAGGCATTGACAGCTCAGAGCTGAGGAGATTCCACATCACTCTTCCAGGTTTGTGAACCAGCTTGTGGTCACTTAGCTCAGAGAGCACAATGAAAGGTCTGGACTTTCTCTTAGGAAACAGCCCCGTGAGAATCTGGGCTCAACACCAATTGTCAAGAAGGTGCTGAAGGGAGGAGTGTCTCTCAGCAGCATAGGGGGCTTCTCTGTCATTCTCTGGGCTTTCACCCTATGGGTGATGATGATTTGGAGGAGTAAGCAGTTTGTGCCTTGATGGGCCTTGTGCTTAAGCACTGCCCCAGCCCTGGAAAAGGAAGGATCCCCGGTTTACGTTGATCAGAATGATCAGCACAACCATGGGCCAGTAACACCTTGACGTTCTGAAGCGCATCCTCTTCTCGGTGAGCCCAGAAGTGGTTCATCAGCTGTTGTTTTGTTTGGTTTGATTTTTCAGAAGGAAAGCTTGGTGGAAATTGAATACCCCTAGGAAGACTGGAGGAGATGCCATGTTGTGGACAGAGAACAGGTGGTTTGTAGAGTAGAATACATGAGAGGGAAGAATCTGTAGCCCCAAGAGATAGCCTGGAGCCAGATTTTGAAGGCATTGAGGACTGGCTCTGGTGCCAGGCTAGAAGACCTAAGTCATTCCTTGCCAGTTGCCCTCTTCAGTGTTGTTGTTCATCTTTCATCCTTATCGCCGGGCAGGGTATTCCATGGGTACCAGTCAAACAGGCACAGGACGGGGAGGGCAGGCTTTTCTTGTGACACACTGGCTCTGGACAAACTCCTTAACCCCACTGCAAGATATGACATTAGAAAAGCAAAAGAAATACAAACACTTAGTTTCCTGCATGGTGCCCCGAGGCTGCATGACAGAAGGCCAGAGAACCGATGCATAAATATCTCTGTGTCCTCTTTCACCTTTCTCTTGTATAACATGCATTTAAAAGAATAGCCTGGGGCAGCTAGGTGGTGCAGTGGGTAGAGCAGGCCCTAAAGTCAGGAGGACCTAAGTTCAAATGCGGCCTCAGACCAAACACTTGACACTTACTAGCTGTGTAACCCTGGGCAAGTTACTTAACCCCAGTTGCCTAAAAATTAAAAAAACAAAACAAAACAAAAAAAAACAGCCTTAGGAATTGCACTTCAGGAGCCAGTGAACTGAAGTGGAAAGTGTACTCACCAATGCCAGATTGTTTTTACATAACCAAGGAGCCTTTCTCCTTGCCCTTCTATCTTCCACCATCTCCTGAAGTCTAGCCAAGCTCATGTTTGTTGTTTACATGACACTATCTATCCATCTCATCCGCTACCATCCCCTTTTTCCTTTTGTACATACATACACACACACATACATATACATGCATATTTACCAATGTATGTAAAATTTTATGTAATTCTAATAACAATAATAGCTGACATTTACATAGCACTTTAAGGTTTGCAAAATGCTTTTAAAATATCTCATTTTATCCTTCCAACAACCTTGGGAGGTAAGTGCTATTTTTGTCCCTATTTTACCGATGGAGGAAACTGAGGCTTGCTCGTGATCACACAACTAGTAAGTGTCTGGGGCTGGATTTGATCTCAAGTCCTCCTGACTCCTCTATCCACTGCCCCGCCCAAGTGCCATAATAAAATTATATGTATTTTAATTACTTTACAAAATTATTACATATTTACATACAAAATTATATGTACATATATTTAAGCAAAATAATCTTGCCTTTTTCCTTCTCAGAGTAAAGAAATTTTGGTCACTGTCCACATTTCATTCTCCAGGATCAGAGCAGAAAATGGTGGAATGGGTCTGTGTGACTTGAATGTGCTTTGAACACAAGGGATAGTGTCTAGAGGACTAAACTCTTTTCATCACGTTTTGTCTTTATTTAAAACTCCCTTTGTCTGCATGCACAAAGTGGGCCAAACATGACTTTAGACACTTAGAGTTACTGATCAGTTTTACCCCCAGTTGAAAGTTATGTGCCCTGTCTCTTTTGTAATCTTCCTGAATTTTTACCTTATACTTTCTTTTAGCAATTTGTTTTTATTACCACTTTTCAATATTAAATTAACCTTTATAATGGTTATCACATTGTGATACTAATTATGTGTATACCAAGTTTTCTTTCCTAATTTGCCACAGATAAATATTTAGGCATTGGAGTGACAATGTGAGGACTGCCTCCCTACCAAAAAAAAAAACAAAAACAAAAAGCCAGGAAACAACCAAAACCAAGGTCAATATCTTAAAACCATTTCAGATTTGGTTCTTGCATCTTTACTAATGCATGCAAGGTAAATGATTACTGGTACACACCAAACATGAATCATTTTTAATGTACATTACCTGTTGGATCTCTGTTTTAAAAAATCATCTTCTGATGCCTCATTGTGGCACAAAGGTGACCTTCCCCCATTCTCCAAGGCTGTGTCAATGGAACATAAGCTGCTTCTAATATCCTTCGTAATATCCTAATTACCCTTCTAATAGTTTGCATGAAGTCCTTAGTTTCAGAAAATTTGAACTAGGACTATGTCTCTAGAAAAATATGAGGCTTCATAGTTCTGTTTTAGTATCTTTGTTTTTTAATATAGTTATTAAAAGCTTTGGGGAGATGATAAATAATCAAAGGATGTGAACAGACAATTTTAAGATAAAGAAATTAAAGCTATCTATAGTCATATGAAAAAATATTCTAAATTACTATTGATTAGAGAAATGCAAATTAAAACAACTCTAAGGTACCACCTCAGACCTATCAGATTGGCTAATATGACAGAAAAGAAAAATGATAAATGTTGGAGAAGATGTGGGAAAATCAGAATATGAATGCATTGTTGGTGGAGTTGTGAACTGATCCAACCATTCTGGAGAGCAATTTGGAACTATGCCCAAAGGGCTATAAAACTGTGTATACCCTTGAATCCAGCAACACCGTTACCCCAAAGAGATCATACAAATGGGAAAAGGACCCACATGTACAAAAATATTTATAGCAGCTCTTTTTGTGATGACAAGGAATTGGAAATTGAGGGGATGCCTATCAATTGGGGTATGGCTGAACAAGTTATGGTATATGAATGTAATGGAATACTGTTGTGCTATAAGAAATGATGAGCAAGCAGATTTCAGAAAAACCTGTACTTAACATGAACTGATGCTGAGTGAAGTAAGCAGAACCAGGAGAACATTATACACAGTAATAGCAACATTGTGCAATGATCAACTGTGATAAATTTAGCTCTTCTTAGCAGTACAATGACAAATTGTATACAAAGACAGTTCCAAAAGATTCATTATGGAAAATGCTATCCACATCCAGAGAAAGAGCTATGGAGTCTGAATGCAGATCAAAGCATCCTGTTTTCACCTTTTTTGTTTGGTTTTTTTTCTTGTGGTTTCCCCCTTTTGTTCTGATTCTTCTTTCACAACATGACTAATGTGGAAATGTGTTTGATGTAATTGTACATGTATAGCCTATATCAGATTGCATGCCATCTTGGGGAGGAGGAAGGAGGAGAGGAGGGAGAAAAAAAAATTTGGAACTCAAAATCTTGTAAAAGTGAATGTTGAAAACTACCTTTACATGTAATTGAAAAAAATAAAATGCTATTAAGTAGGGGGGAAAAAAGCTTTGGGGAGAAAACACGCCATGTAGGATTCTAATGCCAACATTATTGTTATAACAACGTTATAGCTGTTTTGTTAAAAAAAAATTTTTTCTGTTATGTTTCAGATTGAAGATAAAACTTTTGAAGTCCTCGGTGACCTTTGTAATGAAGGAGACTGCACATACCTGAAATGTTCCGTTAATGGTGTTGTTAGCAAACCTAAACTGATTATCTTGGAGAACATCATTTACCTGTTTTCCATGGTAATGCTTCTTTTTTGCAATCCTATGATTGGGTTTGCGAAGACACTGGCATGACGCTAGCATTCTGCTGAGAGAGAGGAACTAGCTTCCTACATTTGCATTTCCTCTATGTACTCCGTTTTGTTCATTTTCTTTGTCCTCACATTTATACTCATATGTACATCCTTTTATATGTACAGATCTACTTCTCTTATATTTATTCCCCAAACCGTATCTGTTTTTCTGATAGTCTCTTCGCCTAGCCCAGTCGTATGTATGCCTTCTTTCCCCTTCATGCATACATACACAGACATATTCCCGCTACTTCCCTGTAATTGTCCATGGTTTTCAAGATGGCTGTGAGGAAAGTCTGGAAGAGGAGCTTAGAGAACGCTATTTCTTGTGCCCAGGGAATAGGGGCTTGGTAACTGGCTGAGGAGGAGCTGACTAATGTTGGTCTCTTTCAGCAGAGAGCGCCAGAGAGAAGTAGGGATGGAGGAAAAGGAGTTTTCCATGGACAGTGCTTTGGTTCTTCATCTGGGGACTAGCATCTCGATACAACTTTCATTTCTATCATTTTATGTGTACAGAGGAATGGGCAGCAATTAGCATGTTACTTAGAGGCTACTCGATTTCCATGGCTTGCCTTAGAATTAACTATAAGGGAGACCACATTGTAATAAGGTCATTTTGATTTTTCTTAAAAGAAGAGACAGAAGTGGATTTTCTTATCTCTTCAAAGGGCTACTTTTCGTAGTCAAATTGAATAGGAAAGTTTCCTCCATCATGTATGTTAGTTTTAAATAAATATGACTCATGAGCTAAGAATGGTTTTTATACATTTAAATAAGGTCTTATTGTATTTAAAAAGTAAAAAAAAAAAAAATGGGGCAGCTAGGTGGCACAGTAGATAGAGCACCAGCCCTGAAGTCAAGAGGACCTGAGTTCAAATCTGGCCTCAAGACACTTGACACTTACTAGCTGTGTGACCCTGGGCAAGTCACTTAACCCCATTGCTTAGCCAAAAGAAAAAGGAAAAAAACAAAACAAGACAAAACAACACTCTTAGTCCAAAAACACATAGCCAGCATGATTTGGCCCTTGGCCAGAGGACTTTGACAACCCCTGCTCTAGACAAAAAAATCATCACCCATGACCAGGCTAGGGATGAGCTGAACCAGGCAGGTTAGAATTAGCCTCCTACGTGGCTCATTTGCTCCCCAAAGCTGTTGACAACTGTGTTAAAATACAAAGATATTCCAACAGAACTGTATAACTTCGTGTTTTTCCTAGAGATACACCTGTGATTCATATTATCTGAAACTAAAGACTGTGTGCAAACGTTAGAAGGATAATTAGGAAAGAAATCATGGTCCCTTGTCAGACCCATGGAAAGCTTGGTAGGGCCGAGCAGAGCCTGTAGTCCATTGGCATAGCCTTGGAGAAGGTGAGAGGGTCGCCTCTGTGCCTCAATGAGGCATCAGACAAGGTCCCTCTTAACAGAGATCCAATGTGTAATGTACATTAAAAATTAGTCATGTTTAAATAGTACTGTAAAAATTGTGGACCAGAAATCAGCTTCCTTGCATGCATCAGCAAAGGTGAAATAACCAAATCTGAAATGGTTTTAAGGTATTGACTTTGGTTTGGGTTTGTTTGTTTGTAGGGAGGCAGTGCTCAGATTGGCATCCCAATGCCTAAATACTTATCTTCAGCAAGTACTGAAGGAATCCAGGGGAGTACCCTCGCACCGATGACTGGAACAATTGAGAAGGTAATAAAGCAAAGTGGAGGTGGAAAACGAGGCCTAGTGAGACACTTCTTTCCAGTTTATCAAGGTGTATTCATAATGTCGGCCCTCTTCTGCCCCACAGATAAGCCTAGGGAACTCTTAAAAAGTGAAGTCAGCAAATAGTGGGATTAATGTTATTTTCTGAATATGAAGATTTCCTTTCAGATGATAAACAATCCAAACTTTTCTTTATTTTTTTAAGCAGTAAAAGATACAAAGTACCTGAAATTTTCCCAAAGAGTTCTTTTTTTCTTTTCTTTGAATGCTTTTTTTTTTTTACTTTTTAATTTTTATGGCTATCTTTTTTTTTCTTTCATTTCCAAATATATCCCCTCCCCTGTATCCTACCTGGGAAACCATCCTGTAACAAAGAATAGAAAAAAGGGGTGGAAGGGTTCATCAAAACTAAACAGCACATCAGTTGAATCTAATAGCATATGTAGTATCATGTACCCATAGTCCCCCACTTCTGAAAAGAAGAGAGGTAGACCTTATCTCTTCAAAGGATAATTTCTCAGTCATAGCAAATGGAAAATGTTTCCTCCAACATGTAAGCTATAAATAATCTTTAACACTTTAAAAATAATTTTGAAAACATAAGTACAACTGAAGGTAATGTAATTGTGTCTTGATATCATTGTATCATCAAGGTTGAGATCTATGGTAACATCACTTTCAAACATGGCCACTGCTGAGTCCCCTTTGTTGAGTCCTGACTTGTTCTGAGGGAGTCTGTCATAATTTTGAGTGCACTGAGCAAGAGTCTTTTTGTAGTGTTTGCAGAAGAGAGAGTAATGGAGAGATGCGTCTAGGCTTGCCAGAAAACTCCGTTTTGTCTGCAGGAGGCTTCCCCATGGATAGATCTCGGATGAGAAGAGCCTAGAGAACCCCCAGAGAAATCAGCCTCCAGGTGCTGGAGTTCTTTGTCTTTGGCTCCTGCCTGCACCCCCAGACTCTTGGCAAAGGGCTGTTACATCCAGCTGCAGGCCCTGCTTGTGAGGCTCCCCGAGGCACAACTGCGCACCTGCAGCTCTCTGCAGGCAGCTCCGTGGTCTCCAAGGGCAAAGTACTGTGGCTCCTACTATGGAGGGCACACCCGTAATTCTCCAGGCTATATACAAGCTAACCTAGACCCACCCCTTAATTAGGAGGGGATAATTAGATGTCATCATATCCTGCACTTGTCTACATGTTTACTCTGCGTCCTATTTGGTTGTCCGAAATAATCTTTGGGGTTTAGTCAAGGGCAGGTATGGGGAGCAGTGCTAGGGACTGCAGTGGGAGGGGCGACTCTTGGAGTACTCAGATAGTCCCCCCCAGGTAGAATTCTCAGTCTTCCCCTCTGCACCTGTGTATCCAAGTCTGCAGAAAGACAGATAGTCGGGCCTCTGAAGAGACACCCTTTGTTTGGCTGGGGGGATGCATAGGACTCTCCAAGAATGGGGCCTTGGGGCTTGGTATTGTGTTTGCAAGGGATTTTCCCATTTTAATTGTACCTACTTAAATTCTAGGTATTTGTGAAAGCTGGAGACAGAGTAAAGACTGGTGACACCTTGATGGTTATGATAGCCATGAAAATGGAGGTGAGTATAAGGAAGTGATCACCTCCTCAAGGTGGTGAAGGACGCGGCCCAGTAAAAAGTTCTCTGGCTCTGGCATCGTAAGATCCAGATTCAGACCTCACCTCCCACACCTGGCACCTGGTGTGGCCTTGGGCGTGTCCCTCTTCTTCCCAAGGGCTCAGTCTCCTTCTCTGTAAAATGGGGAGGGGGGAATTTGAGGAGCTCTGAGGTCCCTTCCAGCTCCAAATCTAAAATGAGAGGCAGCCAGCAACACCTGGATTCAAGTGCTGCCCTTGACACACGGCCATGTGACCCTGGACAGGTCACCGGCCCTCCAAGTGCTCCCTCTAGGCAGCTCTCTTACTTTAGCAGCCCCTCACCCAGGAGTGCCCTATCCGAATGAAATCACAGGGCCAGTCCTACCCTGCACTGAACCAGATTTTTCTGGAGTTACCAAACTATTTTTGCCTTATTTTTACCTTTTAGTAGAACCTTAAATACTGCAAGCCATCTTGATAAAACAATGCAGCATAAACACTTGATCTTAGCATGTTGGCCTTTTTACATTTCTTAAAATCCACTCATCACCTCGGCCTCTGAAATGACTAATATTATCACTAGTTTGTAAGTAGGCAGTAGCCTGCCAGATTTTTTCCTCCTTGGCTTTCCACATTTGATTTGCTTTCAAAATGAATGAGGTTTATGCCAGATTGAGGATGCCCAAGCGTGGGAGAACGAGAAAAATCAAGTCCGTTTTTGGAACAGCCACAGGTATGAGGATGTTTGAGATTGTGTAGACAGAACATCCAAGTGACTGGCTGGTTTTTCATCTCAGAGTTTTGGCCCAGCATCGACGTGCCCCTCCTTCATGTCGTGACTACCAGGGCTGGGGAAGGTGCCAAAGAGTGACCCTGATGGCTTGTTATGGTCTCCTTTCTCTGCAGCATACAATTAAGTCACCAAAGGACGGCACAATCAAGAAAGTTCTCTTCAAAGAAGGTTCTCAGGCCAGCAGACATGCTGCATTAATTGAGTTTGTGGAAGAGAAATCGGATGAAGCCGAATCCAAATTGAATCCAGGCAGGAGATCTGATGATAAATAATTTCTTACTTGTCTGCACCAAATACAAAGTGCCTTCCTACTTCCCTAGGAGCTGTGACGAGCTGCACTTTTATCCATCCACAGTTTGGTTTCCATTGCTCTTTTATAGTGAAAATCATGCAGTTGGGCCCTCAACATTATAAGCTGACATAAAATATTTTAAATTAATAAAAATTAAACTAAATTTATATAACCAGAAAGGGAAATGGCTTCACATTTTTCATTTTGTAGACTTTTGAGGGAGGGAAGGAGGCAGGTCACGATGGAAGGAAACTGGATGAGAGTAAAGTGCTGTCCTTCCAGATTGTCAGACTGTGAGTAGATAGATGGCTTCAGACTCTTCCAAACAACATTAGGCAGCTTCTGTCTGGCTTGCTCATGGTCATGTTCTCAACATGTGATAGCTGCTTGTTTATATGAAGAAGAATAGGGTGATTTGTTTTCTCTCTTTGTGATTTGGGAGCTTCCATTTAGACATCCTAACTTTCCCTTACTCATTGAACTTTTCTGTGTTTCTTAAAATACAAATACTTATATTTGAATGGATTTTGGATCTGGGTGCACAGCTTCCAGACCAGATCCCAAACCCTCGCCATTGCCCCATTCCCCAGTAATTTTTCCACTTTACCATCTCATGTTTGATTTTGGAGTATTTCAAAGCAGAAAAAAATGGTAAAATATTTCTAATTTAATTGTTTAATCAGCAACTAATAAAAAATACATATTTGTATTAAGGAAGGTTCTGGGAAATACTGGATTAGGAGACTGGAGATCTGGTCTAGTCCTGATCCTGCCACTAACATCTCACTGATTTCTCTGAGTCTCAGGTTCCTATCTCCAAAATGAAAGGGCTAGATTAATGGTTTCTGATGTCCCTTCCAATGCTAATCTTCCTTTGTTTTTGTCCTTTGCATCTTTAGAAATAATCTCGTTTTGTCTGCATCATTGGCCAAAGTCAACTTTGTTTTTCCTGATTCCTGGGCATTTTACACATGTCATTTTCTGTATTTGTTCTGCAGTAGCTTTCTAAGAAGTTGACTGAATAGGGGTGGGGGTGGGAGGGAATGGTAAACTATTAAATATTATAAATATACTGTCCTTTGGGTTGTGGTTCAGTCCACCATCTTAGAAAATGATGGCCAATAAAATTTTCAAGTGGAAGAAAGAAATGCTTATATTTAGAGGAAAAAATGTCACCTGCCTTCACAAATAAGTTTATAAAAGACAACGCCCCACCATACCCATACACCAGAATGTTTTGTCCTGGGATGGGGAAAAAATTTAAGCAGTTTTGTGGTGCCTTAAGTACTAGTATAAAATTTTTCCTCCAGCACTTGTATCAACAATTTTCTCCGTATCCACCCACACTAAGTGATCTTGACCCCTGCATCTGCATGCATTCGGTATATCTTCACTGAACACCTGTTGGGTACATCACATTGTGTGTGCCCCCACACCAGGGAAAGACGTTGAAGACAATCCCTATCCTTGAGAAGCAGATAGCCACAGAATCGATATCTCAGAATCGTATACTCTAAGCTGGAAGGGACCTCCTCACGCCTTATCCTCCAGCCTGTGCCAATGGCATGACACAAAGCAGGATTTTAGAACATTAATTATTATTATAATTCCTGGAATCAGGAAGGGCTGGTATTCTCCCACCTGGAGAATTGTTATGATCAGAATACCACCTGATTGTGATTTTCTGGGTGATAGACCAGAATAGGGAGAAACTAAAGGTAAGGAGACGAGTTAGATAAGGAAGAAGTGATGAGGGCCTTGGTGAGAACAGGATTCTTCCTTTCTTCCTTGCTGGTTCTCAAAGGAAGGCAGAAGCCTCTAAGTTAGAATCCTGCCTCTGGCTTTTCCTTTCTCTGTGACCAGTGGCAGGTCACTTGACCTCTCCTGAAACTTCCTCATCTGTAAAGTGGAAACAGTCCTATCTGTGGTACCCACTGAGGCAGCTGGGTGGTGCAGTTCCTATAATGTTGCACTTGGAATCTGGAAGACCTGAGTTCAAATCCAGCCTCAGATTCTTTGCTGAGCAAGTCAGCCTCTATTTCCACATTGATAAATATGAGGATAATGCTAGCACTACCTCACAGGGCTGGTATGAGGGTCAAATGAGATAATATGTAAAGTACTTTGAAAATCGTTAAGTACTATATAAATACTACTATTATTATTAGTTAGTTCACAGGGTTTTTGTAAGGTTCATGTAAGACTATGTACATATGTATGTATTACATATGTAATACATTATTTATTAAATATATAACATTGTTCTATATTATATTTTATATTAAATATATATTTATAAAACATTTTGCAAATCTTCAAGCATGTAGTTCTCAAAATGTTATCTGTGGACCCCTGGGGTTTCCCAAGACCCTTTCAGGGAGTCCATGAGGTCAAAACTATTTTCATAATAATACTGAGATGTTATTTGCCTATCAAAATATTCCTCCTTTTCCCACTGCATATCTGTATGAGGCCAGATTTTATTTATAGACTTCAACAACATATCACAGCAGACTGAATGCCAAAGCAGATAGGAGAATCCACCTGTCTTTAAGCATCTAAAGGGGTCCTGAGACCAAAACGTTTGTGAATTGCTGACTTAAAAGATTATGTCAGTTATGATCATTCATGTCTCAAAACTAGCAAACCAAAAATCAAAAACGTGTTAGGAAATGAAATCTTCTGCATGAGATCCTTTGTGCAAAGCCCTCTTCTTGCTTCCTGCAGTAGTTTTACACGTGTCCAAATACTAATTGCTATTTCCTACATTTGTGACCTAGGGCAAGTCACTTACCATCTGTGAACCTCAGTTTCCTCATCTATAAAATTTAGAAATTGGACTAGGTGACCTTCAAGGTTTCTTCTCGAGCTAATGCTATGGTCCCCAGTAGAAAATCCATGCAGCTGTGGGAGATAGAACCTAACAGCTGAGAGGTCGAGTTTATTACCAAAGAGAGGAGTCCTTTGTTCTTTTCTCTCTCTGAGATTCTCTCCTCTTCCCTACTCATTTTCTCCCTCATCCTCTAGTGTCAATCAGCTGAAAGTTTAGCAGGTCTGAAATCAAAGCCACCCTGTGACCCGACTGCTGGCAAACTGCAGAGGAAGCCACAGCTCAGTGAAGCAAACCAGTGCTGGGCGAGGACTCTCGTCCTTTGGCACCTGTGAGCCGCTGACCCCAAACTCAAAGACTTTGATCCTTGGGTATGCGTGTATACTGGCATTTGGGAAGATTACCCAGTGCAAGTGTACCAGTTATATCCTCAGCTTCTTCTGCTGACTCACCTGAACCTGTGATCTGTTTGCCCTTCCATGACTGAACAAGTCATCCAATCAAAAAGCAGTTACTAATTGCCTACTATGTACCAGGAACTGTGCTAAAAACACTGGTGATACACTACAGCCTTCCCTCTCTCCCTCTGATTGTCTTTCTCAGAAATAGTGAAAGTATTCGGCTAAAAAGTGTGTAGTCTTTGTATAGCCGTGACACTTTTTCTGCTGCTATTAAAATATTTACAGTGTCACTAGTAATACTTTGCACTTTCTGTTACAGCTTTTATCTAAAGATCCTCCAGACAGCTCACTGAATATTAACTCCCTAAAGTCCCAAGAAGAGAATTTGATTCATTTTCTGAGTAGACTGGAGACAAACAGAGAAACTGTCTCTTTCTTGCTCATTTTAAATGAAAAATACTCAGTGGATAGAGCTTCGGCCTTGGAGTCAGGAGGACCTGAGTTCAAACCCGGCCTCAGACACTTGACACTTACTAGCTGTGTCACCCTGGGTAAGTCACTTAACCCCAACTGCCTCACCAGAAAAAAAAAATTAAAAATACTCTTAACCACCCCATCCTGGTCACTGCCTCCTCCCTTGACTTCTGGGATGCTGCTTTTGTCTTGGTTCTCCTCTTCCAACCAATTTTTTTGTAGTTTAGCTTATCAAATTTTCTTCCTACTTTGTAGATGTAGGTGACCCTCAAGGCTCTGTCATGGGCTTCTCTTTCTATTCTTTTTTCAGTGTGTTCCCTAGTTCAGTCTCCCCTGTGGCGATAGTTTGCTAAATAGTCTCTCACTTCTTCTAATTTTTTCCCTTTCTTTCCAATCCATCCTCCACATAGCTGCCAAGTTGATGTTCTGACCATGGCTTCTTCCCCATCACTCAGAAATCTTCTCGTTTTAAGATAACATCAGAAATCCTTAACCTAGCACTGATGGTTCTCAAAACCTGGCTCTGGCCAACCTTTCCAATCTTATTTCCCATCACTCTCCTCAGTCTCCTATCCCAGGACCTTGGGCATAGGATTGATGAGCATTTATTTCCTTTAGCTGACCCAGACCTAGAACCACTACCCAACTTCCCGGTCATCCTCAGGATATGCTTCCCTACCCTACCCCTACTCTTTTCTACCTCCAGCTGTGAGAATAGTAAATCAGATCAATGTCACCATTTCCAGAAAGGTCATGTCAACTCCAATCACCATCCCTCTGACTTCCCTGTCCAAAACAAAGAAAAAAGTGCTTTAAAAGCAGGAACTCTATTGCTTGCCTCTGTGTGTATCCCTGGTGCCTAGCATAGTGCCTGGCACATAGGAAGTACTTAATAAATGGTTTTTTATTTAGTCATTTATTCCCGGATTCTTAATTCCAGCCCAATGGGCCAGCTCTTCCCCTGTATACAATGTTTTATGAGTCAGTCAATAAACACATATTAAGCACCTACTATGTGACAAGTACTGAGCTAACACACAAACATAAAGTTAAAGTGGGAGAGGGGGGCATGATGTCCAAGTGTAGAGTGTAGCCAGATGGGAAATGAAGAGGTGACTGACCTGGGTAGCCTCCTTACTTGGAGGGTATGGAAGGAACCCTACACCCCGATCAGAGGGGAGGAGGAGCTCCAGGGACAGAGAGAACTGATCGATGAGATGTGAGTTCCAGGGCGAGGATGATTTTAAAAGATGAAGATGTTCTTGGGAAGTGAAGCCGCAGGGGAAATGAAGAGATGGCTAATTATCTCTCACAACTTTGCACAAGTGGTCCCTCGTGCCAGAATGCTCTCCCTTTCTACTCCACTTCTTAAGAAGCCTTAGCATCCTTCAAAGCATAGCTCAGGTATCACCTCCTAAAGGAGGACTTCCCAGATCGCTCAGTAATTTGCACACTCTCCTTG